AAGGACCTTGCCCAGGACACCCTGAAGCCCACACCCTTAGACATTCATTAGCAAAATCGAAGAGGAAGCAGGAACCATGCAAACTCTTGGAGCTCCACACAGCAACATCTTTCAGGCATCAACACCGCCTGCCCACCACCTGCCCTAGCAACCATGCTCTCTGCCTTTAACCTTGGCTGCACTTACAGCCCAAGCAGGAAAAGCTGACAAAAGCCTCCGTATCAAATGTAAGTTGCCAAGGGGTGGGCTGATCTTCGTTTGTGCTTTGTTAGTAATCTGGGAGGGGGCTCTGGAGGCAAGGCCAGAGAAATCGACATACGGGACTGTCAGGCGTCAGCAGGGCGCTGGCTGGTGCTGACTCGGCTTGGGCAGAGCTGGGGGATCAGGTCCTGCATGTTTTTTTGTGCATCAAACCCTGTCCATTCCAAGTCCTCTCTCCATAAACCCCCATAAGGGACTCCTGAGCTGTAACTTGAGAAACTGCCACATTGAAATGTGACCAAATCTGTCATAAAGACATTAACGGCAAACACTCTGGAATTAACTATAGCCTAACTGAAACCAAACACATGTGCCCCATGAGCAAGGAGGATGAAGGCCCTTTACTCTGGTCTTTAAATACAAATGTATCAGCGACGGAAGGTGAGAGGAAGCAGAAGACCTTCTACTGGCACCAGGGGAAGAATGCCCCACATGCTGGCCTCAACCTTGGGATGCTGCTGGAGCCTCTGCCTTGTAATGATAGGCACCTGCAATGCTGGGCACAGTGAGTGCTGAGGAGGCAATCCGACAGGACATCTCCAGCAGCTTCCTGAGAGTGCATGAAGCTGAGTCTTGGACACTCGGGGTTTGGGCCTTGGACTCTCAGGCTCAATGGGAGTGGCAAGTGGTACAGGAACATGGGGAATCTGAATCAGCACTTGGGACACTTTACCAGGGTGCTGATCTACAGGTGAGGTTCATTAGCTGACAATTTCATCTATCAGGGCAGAGACTGAGAAAAGTGGCTATTCCTCTCCAACAGTCCTAAGCAGGCAGCTCCAGGAGGAATGAGTATGGCATCTGGCTCTGGCTTGCCCAGCTGTGGCTGCACAGCAGCTGAGTGCTTCCCAGTGCACATTGGGAAGGGGGAGACTGGAAGAGCCAGTCCACAGGCAAGGTCAGATAAAACAAGCTGAAGCTGAGGGCAAGAGCAAGCCAGAGGCTGCAACAATGTTCCGGAACCAGGCATGCCCTGGGAAATCATGCCACCTCTACAGGACATAGATACATGGTGTGTAGACGCAGAATCAAGTGCAGGGAGTGTTATGCCAGCCTGGGGTGCACAGCCACCAAACTACAGATGAGAAATGGGGATGGGGATGGAATCAGGATGAATCAGTCTCTAATGGAAGGTAAATTAGCATTTGATTAAAAGTAAATAAATAGAAAACATCAACTCCTATGATCAACTCCAACCTATGTGCAAATTTAAGGTAAATGGGAAAACTCAAGGTGTTGAATACTTCCTAGAGACTAGCTTCACAGTGTAGCCCAACTGGACTCAGACTTGGCATTCCTCTGCCTCAGCCTCAAAAGTACTAGGATTACAAACATGTACTACCACACTGGGTGATAGGTCACACCTTTAAAAGAAGTCTCAGGAAAATAGTGCCATGAAAATTTAATGACCACTATATAAAAACCTTACATTCAGGCTGAGGACTTGGCTCAGTAGAGGAACACTTGCCTAGCTAGCATGTCCAAGCCCTGGGCTTGATTCCCTGAAATCAAAAGACAAACAAACAAAATCTCAAACAAAAAATCCAAACTATGCTTGAAGGTTAGGTATACAGTTCAATGGTAGGCCGGGATTTGTAAGGTCCTGGGTTCAATCCCCAAAATGACCCCCCCCAATACACACAAGATTAATTTTCCTAGATTTATGTTCCTAGACTTAGCTGGGAAGTGGAGGAGGGTGTACGAATAGGCGTGTGGCCTGCATTCATGACCTGGATTACTCTCAAAACTTGGCCGTGTGTAAGTCTCCCATGAGGCGCTCACTTTGAAAGCATGAGAGGTGCAAGACTGAATTGTAGTGGAGAACAGCACTGTGTGGCAGGGTTTGAATCCCTGAAGTGGGGCCGTGAGAGGCCACCGGTGAAGGAGCAGCCTCGGCTGCAGTGTAGTCCCTAGGATATCAGAGATGCCAAAACTGGGATGATCTTAAGGTCAGCAGCAGTGATGGCACAGAGCTGGCCTGAACCTCTGAGACAAACTGTGTCCTGTTGATGGTGGAACCAGAGAAGTGGGATTGCCCAAGTCCTTTGGAGACCAGAGGATCATGAATGAGCCCTAAATGCCAGACACCAAAGTTTTTACACCATTGGAATTTGCTTCTATTTTGGTTTTAACTGTGCTCTGGTCCTTCCCTCTTAGAACAACAAATAATTAACCTGTTTTTGATTTTACAGAACACTCAGCTAAGAGACTGAATTTTAAAACAAACCTCGGACTTTTAAACCTTATTTTGTATTCTGATATTAACATGATATCTTGGGAACAAACAAGTAAGGAAAGGATTATGGTTTAATAATGATGCATTTCTGTATCAATCTGATAAGGGATCAACATGTGATAGCTATTCTTGGTTGTCAACCTGATGCACATAGGAAAAAGAAGCTAAGATGAGGAACTGCTTCTGTCATACCGAGATGTGGCCACATCTGTAAGGCACTGATTGCAAACTGACATAGGAGAGTCCAGCCCACTGTGGGTGTTACCATCCTGAGGTAGGTGGGCCTAGGCTGTAAAATAAAGGTAGCTGAATATAAGCCAGGGAGTAAGTCAATAGGCAGCAATTCTCCATGGTTTCTGCTTCAAACCTTGAGTTACTGCCTTGGATTCCCTTGCCTCTCTACCTGTAAGATGAATCTAACCCTCTCCTCCCCAAGTTTTCTTTCCTTCTTTGGTGTGGGGGTGGTGACATGGTGCTTATTCTAGCAACATAAGAAAGCTAAAGCAGAGGGTTCAATCACAAGCATCCAGGATGCACTTGGGCAGTGCTGGATGACGGAAGTGAAGAAGTAGAACTCGGCTGCCAGGCCCACTGCAATGCTCTGGACAAGGCTCACCAGACTAATCCATGTCTCAGCTTGGGGGGGACAGACATTACTGTGATTATCTGTCCTGTGTCACAGTCCAGTAGATTTGTACAGGAACCATATGAGATGTGGTATGTTACCATTGGAGAAACTGAGGCCCAGAGGCACTTAAGACATAGCTCCAGGAAGTGAGTTCACTATTTCACAAGGAGAGATCATGACAAATGCTAAATTTGCTCACCAGAATTTCTAGGAGGCTATTCCAGTTGGAAAAAACACCAAGAAATGGTGTGTGTGTGTCACACTTTACACAATACTATACTGTGTGTTTTTGCAAGAGGTACAGATCATTAAGAAAGGACTTTGAAAGTATACCACCAAAAAAGGGAGAGCTTCTGCTGCCTGGCCTCAGCACTAAATGCCACTTGATGGTCTGATCAAACATAGCACAGCACCTGGTGACAGTGGAGTCAGCCCGGAAGAGCACAGTGAACTCCAACTTCAACTGCATCACCTAGTAAGTTATGGCACAATCATAAAAACAAACATTTAATTTTTTTACAGAGTGTGGCTGAGGAGACCGTGTTTTCTGATTTGCCTAGGACCTTCCTGATTTTAAGAGCTGCTGTACTGTGGCTATTAACATCCCTCAAGTAGGATGAAATATTACAGTCATCGTCAGTAAGGTAAGTTTCCATAAAAAATGTAGTAAATAAAAATAGTAAGATAAATGTGAAAAATGTAACAAATAGAATTCTTGTAAAAAGTGACAAAATGTATAGAGAACATTTGAGGAAATGGTGGTGGGATAAGGTAATGAGCAGGCAGGTAGATGCAGTTATCCTAACATGCCAGCTCTTTGGATTAATTTCATAATTATGCTGCATAAATATCACATTGCCCATTTATACACAATATTCTATGTATAACTGTTATTTATAAATATCACACAATACAAATTTTATAAAACATGAAAGGAATAAAATGTAAACTACGTAAAATTATAACCCATGACTTTGGGGGAGAATATGATTAATTATCAACAAGTTTACTAGCTGTTCAATTCTCATTTTAATAGGTTAGTGGAAAGTGCTCTCTGGAAACTACCGGTATCACCTTAGCAAAAGTTACATGTCAAAAAATGACATATTGTTCTGTGATGATGGAAAGCTAGTTACTAGGTGGGTTTGAATCACTGGTACAATACCAGAAAGGTGGATGTGGTTAAAGCAATTAAGAACCCAAGAAAACATAGACACATAGACACACACACACACACACACACACACACACACACACACACACACATACACACACACACACTACAGATGTCAAGTGAAAGAGTTATCGAGAACACAAACTCTATCATAAAGAAGGTGTGAGCTTGTATCAGCCTGGCACTTTGGACTGCAGTTAGCACCAACCAGTGTATGACTGTGATCAGACATGGAGAAACATCAACTCCAAAAACACCTTAGACAATAATGGCCATATTATATCCACCAAACAGAGCCAGACACATGGCCGACACTGGTCAGCAATGCCATGTCAGCACACTAACTGAGGGAGTATCTTCACCGTACAGCCGAAGACAGCAGACAGAGAAGGTTTTTGTTTATGACAAACTGAACGTTTCAAAGCAGTTGGTCAGTCTTCAGCCGTATCACACATCTCATCAGAAAGTAGTTGGTCATTTGTTGAGACTATTTAGAAACTGGGACAATAGTATGTTTGGTGGGAAATGCAATTACATCCCTAATATGCAATCATATCCTTGTCTTAAAGGACTGAAACTGAGTAAATAGGAAGGCAAAATGTGAGGGCTGCTGCTGAGACGGGGGGTGGGGGGTGAGGAGGACGGGACACTACAATGGACAGACCTTGATGGGGATCACAGATGATTAAGGATGACAGTACCTGGAATACTTGCAGGGGAAATCGGACCAGACCGTGATTGGTTGCTTCCCACAGGAGAGCCAACAGGAGAAGGTGACGGCCCCCCAGGGATGCTGGAGAGATGGGGTGATGCGTGTGGGGAGAAAGGAGACTGAGCCGGGTTGCTTTGATCCCCCTGGCTGCTCGTGGAGCCGGATGCACTGACTGCAGAACTCAGAGTTGCTTCCGTTCCTGTGGGGAGGTCGTCGATGGAACCAGACAGGTCCTGAGGAAGAGAGAAGGCAGGTGTTCACACACTTGGAGCACGAAGCAAACAAAGTATGATTTGAAAGTGGCAGTGCCACTCCTTCAGAGAGACTGCAAGGCCAAGATTTGGAGTGACTGCTTCTCACCGACTCTAGTGAACTCACACAGAAGGCCTGGCATCACTTCAAAGGTGAGGCGAGCTGCATCTCACACTCACAAGCTACCCTTGAAGGTTTCCAATCTGCCACCAGCACCCAGCTGTAGGCCTGTTCAAAATGCTGTCTCAGGCAGCTCTGTAGAGCAAGTTACCACAAGAATGAAGACTTCAATCAACTGAGCAACTACAGGCTTTAAATTTCATATAGAAATTTAAAGCAGGGATACTATTATCTAAAACTGGTCAAAATTCTCACTGAACTTTGTGGTGACAAACTCTTCCATTTTAAGCATTATAATAAAACAGTATTATTTGCATTTTAATATATTATGAAATACAATCCTATTGACATCATATGGTCAGAAATGAGTTCTAATGTTACACAGTATGCCCTTATCCAACACTTCTGCATGTTAATATCATCTAATTTGACTGTAACACTCTCAGAGGGAGTTACTAAAGCCTCCACGTGGAAGATTCGCAGAGTCTAGTGTGATGTAATAAACTCTTTAGGGTACCTAAAGAAAAGCAGGTAAGATGAGAGAGACGACACTGATGGTAAAGAAAACAGTGGCTGTGTTCCCAGGCCTTGGCGGGTGGCCACTGTCACCAGAAGCCCAGAAACTAGACACAGGGCCTGCTGATGTGATGGTGCTCCTAGGTGGTCAGCTCAGTATGGTCCATCAAGACAGGAAGCCAGACGGAGGGAGTGGAAGCACCTACGCTACAGTATAAAACACCGGAAGTGCTGCTCTGAACAGCTCCATTCAGTTCCATCCATGCTAAGCTGTGCGTACTACAGGGCCTTCTCCATCGAGAGCTCTCTAGACTGATGCAGGAAGACCTTCAGGCTCAGAAGAAATGCTGCTCAGAAGGCAGCTGACAAACCCAGGACGAGACCCCAGGCCCTGGACACGGAGCTATGCCAGGAACTTCCCTTTTAGGACGATGTTACCAAAGATAAAAATAATACATAAACTATAGCTGATCAGTCCCACAAAACATGGTGTGTACATTAAAAAGTCTTATGACAAGAATAACATTGATTTAAATAAAATAAAAGGTAATCTTATAAAGTCAAATAATTCTGCTTATGAAAAACAACACGATGATTGAAAATATCTAACCTTTGGAAAAGGTATTATCAAATCTCTCAAATAAGATGAGGTAAATTGAATCTGATTTTTTCGGAATTCAGAGATAAAACAAACATTTTTGCTCTAGGCACATGGCATACGTGATTTTGCACACACTCAGCTAGTAAAACTTCCCATTTAAACTTGATTACTGGCTAGCTCAGTGATAGTCCCACTTAGATCTTATAAATTAGATATGGCTTTCAGAGCCAGGCAGGAATAGAGGAAGGTTATTAATCCAGTAACATGCCATACGCAACTCAGAAATAAACCACCTTCTGGCAAGCAACACAACAGCACAGCTCCACCCGCAAATTTAGGCGGACATGTTCAAAGAGAAAGGGGTGATTTTTCCTCTACCCCAGGCTTCCTGCTCGCTGATTTTGAGAACTGGGTGGGATGGATCTGGGGGACAGTGGTAGGTATCCTAGCTGAGCTTTTCAGTGTTTTTTCTGGGAGCCATTTCCTTCCCAATCCATGTAACCAACTCAACAACTGGCAAAACGATGGCAATCAATGACCTGTGGGTTAAATAAAGGCAAGGTACTTATGCTCTGCCCACAAGCTTCCCACATGGTGAAGTGCAAAACAACACAACAACAACAACAACAGTATTTGTTAACAGACTGGAAATACATGAAACTCAAAAACTCAAACGGTGGCCTCCCTGTATTTCCTTAGAACAAGACACACCCAGTCATAGGCACTGCCTATGAACTCTGTGGCAACCACTGAGCAGACAGCTGGGGCAGACCATGTGACAAAGGATGTTTGCCACTGACTTCTGACAAAAGACTCAGGTATGGGTGCTGGGCAGGCCTTAGGTGAACCACACCAAGACCTCACTGCATGCAATAGCTCGTGCAGACTTTACCAGGAACAGTAAGTACCACAGCTTCTTGTAAGTCCTGACTGAGCGATGCAGGTTGTGGTGGGAATGAATAATCTCAACACTGAACAAAGAAACATAAACAAAGCGAAGGTAGCTGTGTGAGTCCTAGAACTAGAGGTCTGGCCAAATCACTAGCCAGAATGGCTTTGGGTTTTTTTTGTTTTTGTTTTTTTTTTTTCCTCCTTTAATAGGAGTGGTGATGGTGTCTCACCCCATTCGACTAAGCTCCATTCACAATTGGCTAATCTGCCCAAAGGGAGGGAAGGGCTTGTCTAACTAACTTTGATCAGGAAAAAACAAAACACAAACCAAAAAAGCCCCAAAATACAAAACATTTCCCACAGTTTACTAGTTTTCTCTTAAAAAAGCAAAACGAGAAAACAAAGCCTCTATTGGGACAGCAGGCGAGGTGCTTGTGAACAAACACAGTAGAAGGAGAGTGGTGACTGCTGCACGTGGCTGCTGACCACCACAAGCCAGGTGCTTCCTCAACACTAGCAAGAAGGGTGGGAGGGAGCGAACCTCCCATGGTAAGTCAGTCAGTAACTAGGAAGACAATCATTCTCTGCTGCACACCGAACAGAGTTAAACAGACACAACGTAAATTCAGGGTTCAATTGTAGTTAAATAATTTTATGCAAATCTTCCTTCATAAAGCCTGAAATGTTACTCATAAATTTTTTAATTCTCTGCATGACCTACAAATTTCTTCCCCATCCTCCCTTAAAAATCCACATTACTGCTGAAAAAAGAGTGAGGACGGGTGTCGAGAGAGTGTCATTCAAGCTGCAGCAGCATCAAAAACATTTCTGTTATTCAACAGGCTGATCAAGGAAACACCAAGAGGAAAATATCAAACCGGTGGCTTCCTTCGCGTTCACATGTCATCAGAATTTCAGTGCTGACTAGACCCTGGTGCAACAGAAGAGCAATAAAAAGATATAATTTTTATATTACCAATATACCCCTCTCGGAACTTTTATATGTAAATGATACAGAAAGACTCCCGTCTTGCAGATATACTTATGGTATCCATACGCAGAGCTATCTTAAAGCCACTAATGAAGGAAGTTCGGCAGTGGTCTAAGCATACAGCCTCGTTAACACAGAAGCCCGTCACTAACACTCCCCTGGAGGACAATTAGTCAGCAGGGCACCGGCTCCTTCTTCTGTAAGTACCATCAGGTCCATGATGCCTGCAAAGGCACAAGCTGCCTGGCATCTCCTCACAGCCAAGGCACCTTCAAGCTGCAGTGCTTGCTGGAGAACTGGCAGGTCAGGTTAGGCGACAGCAGCAAGGGCCCCTGGGAGTCCTTATCCCACAGCATTCCTTAGGCCCCTCTTTCCCCATGGAGGGAAGGGTAAGGCAACGATTTCCTGTGCTCTCGCCTAGTAAAGTTACTGCTTTGCCATCATAATTTGATGTGGTGAGATCCAGGGATCGAATTGGCTGTTCTTTGTTTAATGCTACCCACAATACCAAATATTTTTCAATGTAACAAAATTAATGTGAGCTCACTATCAATGGTCTGCTTATTCTTAAAAGTCCCTATCTTGAATATCACACACACACACACAAAACCCCGAAACACTTGCTTTACTTTTAAAACCATTTCAGGAAGGCCTCTGCACAGACTTTATTTACCACTGTAACCTTACACCCCTCAGCCCTCTCTGTCCAAGTAAGAAATCTCAAATTAATTCAAGGGACTAGGCAAAGAATGAAGTGCTACAAGAGTGCCACAGGAGTCTTATCTTACTTGTACAAGAAAAACAATTGGATTACCACAGCACAACAAGGTTCCTGATTGCTCATGCAGACACAGGCCTAGGGACGGCAGTAACAGAAGGAAAGCACATGGAAAAATTCCATGAAGATGGTACTTTAAAAGAGCTACATGTAGTTTGGCTTTGTTGGCACACGCCTTTAATCCCAGCACTAGGAGGCAGAGGTAGGCGGATGTCTGTGAGTTTGAGGTCAGCCTGGTCTACAGAGAGAGTTCCAGGACAGCCTCCAAAGCAATACAGAGAAACCCTGTCTCAACAAACAAACAAACAAACAAAAAACCAAAACAAAATAGCTACATGTAAACAGAAAACAAGGAACACTATGTATGAGTTCTCTAATGTCTGTACATGGCACATGAACCTCCCTGAAATACTCATGTTGACATTTATAAGTCACCAGAGTGAAGTATCTTTGCTTTGATGGTAAGGTGTTCAGTCCTAGCACGTGCCAGCCCAGGGTAAGTTCAGTCAATACTGGAGATGTCACTGATCCAGGGACCTGGGAATAAGCTCGGAAATTGTAGTCCCTTGCTTAATTAAATAAGTGGGTTTTCAAAAAGCCAATGAACTTCTCAACATTCCAAACCGCAGCTCTCAGCACAATTAACTGCTGGTGGGGATCAGCCCAGCCCTGATGGTAAGCTGTCCCACACTGCATACATCTGGGCATCCCCTGCTTGGGCACACCCCCTGAGAAAGGGGATAAACAGAGTTAGGAACCGAGAGGATATTTCAGCCAATGCAACAGGCACAGGCCTCATTTTAGGGTTTAATAGGACACAGCTAATGACTTCTCACTGTGGCTTCCCAGAGGCTTAGGGCATGGGTTACAATACCAGTTCACAACTCTGCAAAATTCTCAGTGATGCTCAGAAGCAGGAAAACCTTCACACACACACACACACACACACACACACACACACACACACACACACACACACACACACACACAGGAGAGAGAGAGAGAGAGAGAGAGAGAGAGAGAGAGAGAGACACTCACACCCAAAACACACAGAAATACAAACTCTCACACACTGAGAAACACT